TCCTAATTGGACATTAAATAAGATGTTCTAAATGCTATAAAACATATATGTGACATGACAGGAAGATCTCTAAATATGAAGGTAAGACACAATTAATATTCTGGTGTGGAAAACTTAAAATGTGTTACTATGAAGTCAACCCTTAACATAGCAACTGAAAGGATATCTGTGACACAAATGTCGGCATATCTTATCAGCATTGTATGGAATAAAATAAAAACAGAAGATGAAAAGACAGATTCTAGACAATGAGCCAAGAGACATGATAAAGAGGTGGGTGGTTAAAAGTATAAAGATTATATAGATTAAGCTTGAAAACATATAGATTAATATATGGAAAAATATAGAAAGCTGTGATAATACCAAAGCACAGACATTATAAACTAACTGCAAAACAAGGAGATGATAAAAAATTGGAAAAACGAATTAAAAACCTAAATAAAAAAACTTGACATAATTTAATTATTAGGATATATGTACAACTCATCAAATTATTGTCCACTGTCATTTGACTTTACTTCATCCATGTTTCTAATATGAGTCTATTACTGTCTAGAACATATCTATTATTATTTATGACCTACACAACCAAAGATGGCTGTTAGCTTTGATACTGATGAGAACTAAAGAAGTAAGGAAAATAAAAGCATATAGCCATATAGACTGATGTTTCTAATGTAACTGGTAGTGAATATTCTTCACTGTAAACAGTAGTGTACAATAACCATAGCAAACCACCTAGAACAGAAGCTTGCAGACCGAGCTTGAGAAGAGATCCATAGATCTCTTCTCTGCATGCCATAAGCATACTCATTGTGAACTTGTCAATTAGAATGAAGAGTAAGCTAAAAAAAAAAAACCTGCAACATAATATTTTCACAACATTTTTAAAGCTCATAAAAAAGAACATGAACCCTTTTCTTCTGGGCCTGTGAGACTGTTTACAAAGTTTCTTTGAACTATTTTGTTTTAAACTCACACAAATCTTGCACCCTGTTTTGCAGACTGAATCAACATAAAGTGTGATCAGCTAACTGCAGAATAGTTACATGAATAACCCTGAAATATGTGTTGGATTGATTCTGTAACATCTAGGATGATTTGCATAGACCATTTGACAGTGTTAACTGTCAAATCCATCCATTTAATGAGATTTCACCTTACACCAATCAGAATGGCTAAGATCAAAACTCACATGACAGCACATGTTGGCAGGTATGTAGAGAAAGAAGAACACTCCTCCATTACTGGTGGGATTACAAACTGGTACAACCACTCTGGAAATCAATCTGGTGATTTCTCAGAAAATTTGAAATAGATCTACCTGAAGACCCAGCAGTACCAGTCTTACTAATATACCCAAAAGATACCCCACTATGGCACAGGGGCATGTGTTCAACTATGTTCATAGCAGCCTTGTTTGTGATAGCCAAAAGCTAGAAACAACCCAGATGTTCCATGATAGAAGAATGGATACAGAAAATGTGGTTCATTTACACAAGGGAATACTACTCAGCTATTAAGAGGACATCCTGAGTTTTGCAGGCAAATGGATGGAACTAGGATATATCATCCTAAGTGAGGTAACTCAGACCCAAAAGGACATGAATGGCATGTACACAATAATAAGTGGATATTAGCCAAAAAAAAAAGTCCAGAATACCCAGGATACAGTCCACTGAACTCAATACGATTAATAAACAGTAGGGCCCAAATGAGGATGCCTGAATCCCACTTGGGAGGGAGAAGAAAACAATCACAAGGCGGTGGGGATGGAGGGACCTGGGTAGCAAAGGGGACAGCGAGAGGAAGAGGGGAACAGGATCAGGTATTGGGTGGGAGAAAAGGACTGAAGCCCTGAGAGCCAACAGAAAGAATGGAAACTGGATATCTGGGAGGTCGGAGGTGAGGGGACCCTCCAGAATTCATCAGGGACCCGGGAAGTGAAAGATTCTCAAGACTGAAAGGGAGGGAACTAAAATGAAATGCTCAACAGTAGATAGAGGGAACTTGTAGAGCCCACCTCCAGCAGAAAGACAGGCCATCAAGTGGAGGGATGGGGTTGCCATACCACAGTCTAAAACTCTAACCCATAATTGTTCCTGTCTGAAAGAACTGCAGGAACAAAAATGGAGAGGCGCCTGAGGAAAAGGAAATCCAGGGACAGGCCCAAATTGGGATCCAGTTCAGAGGGAGGTCCTAAGGCCTGACACTAGTACTGAGGTTATGGAGAGCTCACAAAAAAAACGGCCTATCATGACATGACTGTCCTCTGAAAGACCGAACAAGCAGCTGAAAGATTCAAATGCAGATATTTACACCCAAACAGTGGACAGAAGATGCTGTCCCCTGTGGTTGAATTAGGGAAATGCTGGAAGAAGCTGAGGAGGAGGGCAACCCTGTAGGGAGACCAGCTGTCTCAATTGACCTGAATCCCTGAGATCTCTGACACTGGACCACAAACCAGGCAGCTTACACCAGCTGATGTGAAGTCCCCAACACATATACAGCAGAGGACTTTTCCGGTCTGGACTCAATCAGAGAAGATGTACCTTACCCTCAAGAGACTGGAGGCCCCAGGGAGTGGGGAGTTCTGGTGGGGAAGGATGGGGGGGCATCCTCATGGAGATGGGGGTGGGGGAAGAGGTACAGGATGTGGGACAGTAAGAGGGTGGACAGGGAGAGGGATAAAAAGAATTGTGTGTGTATATGTGTGTGTGTGTATACGTGGGCACATGTGCGTGTATGTATGAAATGTATGTATGTATGTATGTATGTATGTATGTATGTATGTATGTATGTGTATATATATAAGCACAAGGAAACCAGAAGCATAGAAATTTCAGCAGTGTGGGTTCTGCAAGGCTATAGCTTGCATTTCTCTGCAAGTGAGACTGACAAAGTCAGAGGAGCAGCAGGGTTCATTTCTTGCCCTTTTGAGAATCAGATATGGACTGAAATCCAGCTAAGCTGTCTTCCTGGTCATCGCTGAACTCTTTACTGATATACAGTCTCTGCTAGTGTTTGCTTTGACTTTTTGTTTGATATCATTATACTCCATGACACTTGGCCCTTTTCAGGACCCAGTTTCCATTTCCTTTCTTAACATTTAGAATAATATTTTCTTGATAATCTAAGTTCAGTGCATATAATAACAAGTTGAATATAGTTTTCTTTTTTTTTTTTACTTTCAGCAGTGTGTAATTTTTTTTAATTCCAAGGTTGAGGTTACACTAAAAATATGCTGTGAAAATAACAGTCTGTCAAGCTCCCTCTGGTCTTATTTCCAGTTGTAACACTTTCCACTGGAATATACCTTAATAGGTTGGAAATTGAGGGGGGGGAGAAAGGAGATAAAAGGATATCATTGTCTGAGCACATTTATTATGCCAACAATGCAGCTTAATCATCTTCAACAGCAACATTAGATATTATAATTTCTCATACCAAGGAAGATTTTTAGTCAGCGTGAACCACTACAGATAGTTGTTGACAATCTGGACATCATTTATATGGATAAAAGTCCAAGGACACTATATAGGGTTTTCTGTTAGGGAAAATTTTATTAGCTCTTCCCACTAATCCTCCACTTAAGGATCTTAGAAAATATAATTTAACACAGATTCTTATGAGAACCCAGTAATTTCTATATTTGCCAAATAAATTAAGGAAGTAGTGGTGGATAAAACAATATAGCCCTAATGCATAAGATATTTTTCTTTTTAAGGGTTAATTAACAAAATGCTGAGTTTTACTTATCTACTTAATTTATGACTGTAATCTTAATTTTTGTAGTTTCTCTTATTTTTGTTGGCCCTCTCCCTAACTCCCTCCTTCCTTCCCTGTCTCCCTCCTTCATCTTTCCCACCCTTCTGTCTCTCCTGTCTCTCCTACATACCTCCAGTCCCAACCCCGTTTTCTCATGCAAGTGTGTCTGAAAGGACACTGAGGCGGAGGCACCAGTGTAGTTGAATCCTTGCTAAGGTCTTGAAAACTCGATTCACTTTCCAAGTTGTGACATTCTTTTGGCTTTGTTTAAGCTATCTGAAAACCACAGAGGATTCCATGCCCTTCATTACAATGAACAATTTCTGGATAAGATAGAGGTCAGGAAGTAGAGGTAGATTCCAGAGGATTACATGCAGCATCATTTTTTGTCTACTTTATACTGCAGTTAGCTATAGTTCAATAAACATAACTCAATGTTGTTTGTAAAACCACAAGCAGTTCACAAAGTGACAGGAAATAGAAAAAGGAACTATGACCATGTAGTCACTCATTTTAATCATTATTTATGGGATAGTTGTTCAAGGATCCTAAGTAAAGCTAGCCTAAGAAAGCAGTCCATTGAAGGTGCATATCCAAAGCCAGTTCTGGTAACATCAACAACCAGGATAAAAAAAAAAGTTTATCTCTAACCTCTATAAGTCTATACATCTCAATGAAAGCCCGAGTTAGAAGGGCCATTCTGAAATTATGGAGATTAAGAAATGGAATACTGGAAGCAGACCTTACACTTTATCTCTTGGTTCAATTTCTTGACTCATCTCTGATTGAGGGTGACTTAGGTGTGAGCTTGTCCCTGCTGGTCAGGTGCATGCATGCGCTTTCCTGAAGAGGTTCACTCTGATTTACCTATAGCTGGAGGCTGCTCCCTCGGGCAGATCTATTTCTCCTGTCATAAGCTAAATTACCTCAAACCTTGTCAAATAAAGCCTTCCCCTTTCTTTATTTTTATTTTTAGTCTGTTTGTCTTATTTTTTATTTGTCATTTTTAAAAATTACAACAATGAGAAGGTAACCAATATAGCTATCATTCTTTAAGTATTTATAAAATTATTTAACTTTATTTATACATACTTAACATTATAAAACATTAAAATTTGAAATCAAATGTGATTAGTGTGACATGTTGTTTATACGTACCATAGTAATGTGCATTAAAAATAATAACACAGAATAACCAAAGAAACCAGCACACTTGGCATGCTTATACTCACTTAGCGTGGCGGATGTCTGGCAGAGACCTTTCTAAAGCAATATTGTTGCTGACAAAAATATTGAAGCCATTTTCCCTGTAAGCTGAGTCATCATGGTCCTCTTCAGTAAGGGGGTATGGTTTCCCATGTTCACCTTTCCCTACAAAGAAAGAAAAAAAATTAAAGTTTTTATCTAAAAGAAAATCTATTTCATATTCCAGAACTGAGAGTCATCAATAGATAATGGAAAATGAAAATGTGATATTTATATACACTGGCGTATTTTTTAGCCTTAAAGAAAAGTTGAAAACATGGCATACAGAGAAAAAGGACTGAACTGAAAGCTATTATATTAAACAAATAAAGTAACACCCCAAAAGACAAATACTTGGCATTCTCTCATAAGTATGTATGGCTTAGATATTAATTTTATATGTGTGTAAGTGTACCTGCATGTCGATACTGTAAGTTGATATTACTACTTCACCTTAAACATTATTGTGATTTCTCTGTGGAGTCTATGTCAAGTTTCAAACATGAACACACATAGGCATCTACACACACACACACACACACACACACACGTACCTTCTTGCAAGCAAATCCCATACTTAGATGTGCACCACAAACATACATATGCATAAAAATTCAGGGCACTAGTGGAAATATTGTGTTGTCTCTTCCTTCTTTTGTACATTAGCTTAGGCATGTTTAATGATTTTCGTGTTATTCAACTGAGACTAAAAACCCAGTAAAGCTAACATTTAACATTTGGAAAGGACATTCATCGCTTATTCTATACTTTTTAAAGACTAAATTGTGTCGATCTTGTAATGTGGGCTATTTAAGAAAATAACTAATGGATTGCATTTTGGGTACATTGAGTTTATTAGGTTTTTTTTTATATGCTATTCCGTGGTTACACATTTTCTTATTTGTTAAAACCTTATTATAATGAATTGCAAATAAAAAACATCACACAATAAAATTAACCATCCCCAAAGTCTATACATCTCAATGAAAGCCAGAGTTAGAATAGCCATTCTGAAATTATGGAGATTCAGATGGGATTTTACACTTTCACTACCCAATATATTTTTTTTTCATCCTTATAGCAGCCCCCTTCTCTTCCTGGTCTTTGTTTTACACAGCCCCTCTACCACCCCTAATCTTCTGAGAAGGAGAGGACCCCTGGGTATCAATCCACTCTGGCCCATGAAGTCTGCAGGGATAGGCGATGTATCCTCTTCCACTGAGGTCAGATAAGGCAGCCCAGGTAAGGTAACAGATTCAGCAGACAGCTAACAGCTTTAGGAACAGGCACACCCTACCCCTCGTTGTTAGGGGACCCACATGAAAAGCAAGCTGCACAGCTACATGCGTGAGGGGGGAGAGGAGACTAGGTCCAGCCCATGCTTGCTCTTTGGTGGTTCAGTCTCTGGGAGAACCCAAGGATCCAGGTTATTCATCTGTCCACCAAAAATAGAAATGAAAAAATCATGACAAAGTTAAAACTAGGAAAAAGCAGTATGTTTTTTGTTTTGTTTGTCTGTGTGTTTTTGTTTGTTTTGTCTTTGCTTGATTGTTTGATTTTCAATCTTCTTTCATATTTCCTGTCAGTAACCTATGTTCAGGTCCTGAGGACTGTAGGGCCAGTGGGCTGTGCCTCCAAATGTGAATAAAAACTGGTGAGGCAGAGTGAGATCGAACCAGAAACCTCAGAGATTTGAGAACATCAGGAGTGCAGCTGCTTTCTATTGTCACTGTACCTGCTCTGAAACACTTGACCAGGACACCTGAAGCTCTTTTCCTTCCAAAGAGGTATTTAGATAGCCTTAGCCTTCAGCTAATGAGCCTTCCCTTCCTGAATATTCCCACCCCAATCCTTCAAAACTATATAATACTGGTTCACCCTTTATAAAGTTTATGTGTTCTCCGACCCCAATAAAGCACTATGAAAATGCAAGGATAGTCTTGGAGATCTGCTTCATTAAAATTTGCCATGTGGAAGTCTTCCCAAAAAGGAGCCGCATCTAATGCTCTCAAAGGTTTTTCTCTCTGCTTGGCACTTGCTTCCAATAGGACTGGATCCTGCTTGTTTTGGACTCTATTTTCCCCTTCCTGCCTGGCATGTAGATGCCCAGAGTGGAAACAGGGACCACGGACCCTGTTTCTGACTTCCTCTCCAGGTGGTGCACAGGAGGTGGCTGGTCACCCAGAGAGGAGACCTGGAACCACAACTTTTGTCCAAGATCCTACTTTCCCCTTCTGGTCCTACTTGTAGCAGTGGCTGACTCCCAAAGGGAAACAGGCTCTGGACCCCCTGTTCTGGCCTTTACTCTGCCTTCTCTGGATATCATGCCAACAGTGTCTGGACACCCCAGGTAGAGAGGCAGAATACAGTACCACAGAGAAAGGCTTGTTTATGCATAACAATTATTTCTGAAGCACTATTTCCTTGAATCTTGTTGGGACTTCATATGACTTTCCTTATTTTATTAGTGTGTGCTTGTATGTGTGTGAGTGTGTGTGTGTGTGTGTGTGTGTGTATGTGTGTGTGTATATACAATTGTATTTTATGTCACAGCTTTCCTGCCAGTATGTTATTTTAAACATACCATATTGGTTTTTATACTTTCTTGTTAACTGCTCACTTTTTAAACTCATTTTATTTCATTGAGTTTAAGTCTCTAAGGCTTTTTTAAAAAATTCAAACAGCCCAGTACTTTTTGATCACACAATAGAAAGAACCTCTTTTCTTCTTGAATAAAAAAAAGATTTATCATTTGATTTTAAAACATAATAAATAACATTGTCTTCTATACATATTTGCTCCCCGACTTTAATATTGCTTCGAAGCACTACAAATTTGAGTCTGGATATATAGTTTTAAGTGTGTATATGTATGTGTTTATATTGTTATAGGCATGATTTTATTTTAATTGAGGATCCTCTGCTATGGTAAATATTACTTTGTATTAATAGAGTATTAAAGTTGAAATTCTTTAAGAAATTTTGCATTTTTCAACTTTATTTGTTTTGCAAACATACTTGGTTTGTTTTTGTTTGTTTTTTTTTGTTATTGTTTTTGGCTTGGGGAATTGACTTTCTATATCAATGTTATACTCCAAAAATAATAACAGAAGGCATCCTTTTTGACTTACGGAATCATCCCTGTAAGAGTTCCTTTAGTATATCTGATATCCACATCAAGAAGGGGCAAAAGATGAAGATATACGTTTAAGAACAGAATGAAGCTAACGTCCATGTGGCTCTGTGTCAGATCACTACCACTGTATTACTGATATGGAAGGACTGACAACTAGTTTAGGTACTAGGTGGGTAGTGGCAGAAGTAGCCAAGGTTCAAAATCATCATCTGTTACACTGGAAGGTTCAGTAGTCTTTGCTAGAGACCTTGTCTCAATCAAACGAAAGCCACAAAACACCTCTCTCCACCACCATATCCAGTACAAAATAGAGTCCTGATAATTCAGACTCTCTCCATTTCAGCATTTGGGGGAAATGTTCTGTAATTATTCTCTAATCTAAACAGAAATGTAAAATTTATATATATATATATATATATATATATATATATATATATATATATATATATACACACACACACGCACACAATTATAGAGTGAACTAACAATTGTTCAATCCATCCAAACTGCATGTGAATAAAATATGAAAAGAATACTATTATTACAGATTTCTGTGATTGGGAAACTTTTAAAATGTGTAAATCTTCCTCTATAAAATGTCTAAATTAAGAGCAGAATTGATTTTGACTTATATAGGGCCTGTAACACCTTGATTTACACTTCATTCTATAAATTGTACTTAGGAAGGAAGGTATGAGAACGTGATGCTTTCATTATCTAGACTGTCTACAACAAGTAACAGGTTAATCATCACATTTGTTAATTTTACTTGTAATTATGCAGCCCTAAGTAAAGTGCACAGATACCCCTCCTATTCTTTTCACACTTTTGCAGAGATATTTTTAATCCATGGCTTCAAAATCAGCCACATTGCAGACTATAGTATAGACAATGAATAGTGGTATAGTCATTAGAACCTCTTTGAAAGAAATTCATTTTCTTTGTGTGACAGTTTAGTGGTCAGACTGGAAAACTCACAGAAGAAAGATTTTTTCAAATAGATTGTGACTCTTTAAAATTATGTAACAAAACAAGTATATATATATATATATATATATATATATATATATATATATATATATTATTAGAAATTATATGCTCACTTCATAAAACTAGGTTTTAAAATATCGTATTCTTTTTTTTTTTTTTTTGGTTTTTAGACAGGGTTTCTCTGTGTAGCCCCTGACTGTCCTGGAACTCACTCTGTAGACCAGGTTGGCCTCGAACTCAGAAATCCACCTGCCTCTGCCTCCCAAGTGCCGGGATTAAAGGCGTGCGCCACCACCGCCCAGCCACAAAATATTGTATTCTTATACATGAAAGCAACAGATTTTATTGCAAATGTGACAAAGTTATTTTAACTCTTGTGATCAGAAGTCATAAGATCCCTTGAATTTGAATTTCTTTTGTTAAAAAGAGAAAAGAAAAACAAAACAAAACAAAAATAACCAAAGACTCCAAATTAGAATAACAAATGGAGTTGTGAATGTTGTGGTCAGCCCTGGCCCTGGTATTTTTGTATTTTGATGCTAATTCCACTTTCCTGGGAGGGGCTGCAGTGGAGGAGAGAATCAGTACACAGGTGACTTCTGTTGAACCTTCTGCCCACCTTAATTTGTAAAATAAAGGCTAGAGCCAGTGATTGGTTAGAGAAGGGGAGGTGGAGAAATAAAGGTTGATAGGAGAGAGAGAAGAGAGAGAGAGAGGAGAGAGAGAGGACAGAGAGAGGAGAGGGAGAGGAGAGGGAGAGGAGAGAGAGAGAGGAGAGAGAGGAGAGAGGAGAGGAGAGAGGAGGATGGAGGAGGAAGAGAACGGAGGAGCAGGAGGTAAAAGGACAAGCCTGTGACCTGGAAAACTCACAAGTTATAAGGGTCTCATAGCTTGGGAATAGAGTAGTGTAGTGGTGAATCTGCCCAATTTATGCGTGCAGCTTATATTCATAATATTGAGTTGTGTTTTCATTGACTGGTCTTATTTGGTTGGAGATTTAA